CCCCAAAACCCCAAAACCCCAAAACCCCAAAACCCCTTTCCCTGACATCTTTATTGAAATTTTTATAAAGTTACATAAAATTAATCTTTGAAGTTCTGTTTTATGTTACAATTATTCATTTCAGTAAGAATGGTAGAGATTTAGTATTCTCTACCTCTACCTCTACCTCTTCCTCTATATCCTCCTCTGGAGTTGAAGCCTCTTCCTCTTCCTCTTCCGAACTCATTTCTACCAAAAGATTCCCCATCGGTGTTGTGGGATGGCACTCCTCCCGCCTTATGGTTGCGGGTGAAGAATTTAGGTCTTCCACCAAAGCTGATATCTGAGACTTCTTTCTGATTGAAATCGCCTTTGCCTGATCTCATCGAGTGGGAATCATAAGAATCATTGGGCTTTTTATTGTAATTTCTAGTCATTTCTTTGTCATTATAACCATGTCCTTGGAAACTTTGATTATAGTGATTTCTGGCACTTGTAAATCCTCCGTTCTTACCTCCTCTCTTTCCATAGCCGTGTGAGGATTTATTGTAGCGATGCCCTTCTTCTATCTCAGGAAGTTCTGAGGCTCTTTCAAGGACAAATGGGAGGCCTCTAGAGGTACATGACTGCTCTTTGTATTCTTGGTCAATCACTTCAGCATTTTCTTCAGAGATATCGAATACAATTCCTTCTCCACTTCTCAGTAGCTTCATCCCTTTGATTTTGTAACCGATGTCTGCAGAGAAGTTATTTTGGATCAGCTTGTGAGCATACGATACATTGTTGATTCCTCTATCGTTTCTGAGGATGTAGGTGACAATGCCGTCCTCTCCAGTAAGGAAACTTCTTGAAGCAAGATGAGAGTTAGAGGTATCTGAGATGTAAGCTAGAGCCATGCATAAAGCTTCCTTGGCTCCCACCTCTTCAATAAATTTAGTCGCGTCTTCTTCAAAAGTGGATAGAATCTTTTTATCCACATTATTTTAAGTTAACAATAACATCTGCAGCTGCTACTTTAATGACATCTTCATTCTTTGGTGGGGTGATTTTATTGAATTTGATTCCAGCTTCATACTCAATATCCTGAATCACTCTAAATTCTCTTCCAGTATAGAAAGTGATACACATGCCTTCTTTTCCTGCTCTTGCAGTTCTTCCTGATCTGTGAATATATGCTTCAATATCTTTTGGAGGCTCTAGTTGGACGACAAGGTCTACATTAGGAATATCGAGTCCTCTGGCAGCAACATCTGTTGCAACAAGGACATTGAATTTCCCCTCTTTGAATCTTCTCAGAGTAACTTCTCTTTGCTTCTGAGCAATATCACCATGAAGGACTTCGGCATTGTTTCTCATTTTCTCTGAAAGAATGATTTCATTGGCTTCAAGCTTTGTCTGAGTGAAAACAATCGATTTTCCTTTCAGGCCACCATAGCATCTCAGTACATCTGCTAGGACTGAAATCTTGTTCTCAAATGGACAGTTGAGTGCTAAATGGTTCACTGTATTAGCAGTCTTGTTCTTCAAATTTTTCACTAAGTCAATTATTTTATGATCTTTGCTAAGGTACTTTTTAGCGACTGATTTAAACCAATCAGGGATGGTTGCTGAAAACAGTAAGAATTGCGGCTTCTCCTCCACTTCTTGGTTGACTCTGGCAATAATTTCTTCTATATCTTCCTCAAATCCCATATTGAGCATTTGGTCTGCTTCATCAAGGATGACTGTCTTGATATTTGAAAAGTTAATATTCTCTCTGGAGATATGATCAAGTACTCTTCCACAAGTTCCAACAAAGAACTCAACTCCATATCTGAGTTCTTTCTCTTGTTGCTCTATGGGGACTCCACCATAGACAGTGAGAACTCTGTACTCATTCTCTCTGTGCATTAATTTCTTGAGCTCAGCAGAGACTTGAAGAGCAAGCTCTCTTGTGGGAGTCATGATAACAGTGTACAAATTCCGCATGAAAGTCTTTTTGGGTGTAAAGTATCCAAGCTTCCGATACCTTTCAACCAAAGGAAGACAGAAAGCCAATGTCTTCCCAGACCCTGTCAGATCCCTAGCTATCAAGTCTTCGTTATCATAGATATACTTGAAGGTAGAAGACTGGATTGGGAACAAAGAAGAGATCCCACTCTCTTTCAATTTCTCCTTGGTCTCGTCAGTGATTTCTTCATAAGAGTCAAAGTCTTCTTCCTTAGTCAGCTCTTTCTTTTCTTCCTCTTTTTCCTTCTTAAGCCCAACCATCAGCTCTTGTGGATTCTTGACCACTTCTGATGCTTTGTGCTTAACATTTCTCTGAAACACATCCTTTTCGCTCATTTTCAACTAATTTTAATAGATGAATCAATAGTTTTTTGGTAAATAGGGGTTTTGGGGTTTTGGGGTTTTGGGG